TTCTTGCTCTCTTACTTCATCTTTCCAACGAGAGAATTTCATATATTTATTTGTGAGTGTGCCATTTGTTCAATTTTGCAAAATATGGTCCGTCTACTCAACAAGTTCATGAGTACAAAGGCCTTTTTCAACACCAAACAAACTCATTTAGGTATAGTGCAAAAATTTTCGTCGCTTCAATAGCTTCTCTCCTCGCCGAGGCGCTTATGTTGGGAGTAATTCTCTCAATTACTTTGTCAGAAAGATCAATAAGTAAATGCATATAGAGGATGAAATGAGGCAATAAAGTGTGTGTAGGATGAATGGGAAATTGATGCAAGTGTCCTCATAAAAAGCATTCTCTCTCACTCAATCTTACACACAAATACACAGAGTCATTTTGCAGTATTTCTCACCAACAGTGATCAATTATGCACAATAAACTTAAAGCGGCTTTAACCATTCAATGAAGATTGGTGGAATTGGGTAAAGCCCTTATTCACACCATCTCTCGCACACTCTCTTTCAAAAGTGTCAAGCATTAAGTGTGTGCAAGTAGAAAATTTATGTAAAAATACTGAGAGGTCATTAAAATCTTGAAGGTGTGTTGTCTTATTAGCTAATAATCATTTAGGCTTTAGTCATTTAAATTCTACCACGCATGACAATTTTTCCAAACACTCTGCATACAAAGGGTCTTTCAGTAATCGCATATTAACTCTTTTAATGTCAACAGCACACAATGTGATAAAATGTAACTGCGGAAATTTCATATTTCCTCAGAAGAAGACATAAGAATTGTTATTGCTTTGTGACGAGAGAAAAAAAATCATATATTTTTAATACTTCTCAATTAATTGCAAAATATTCATCACTCTTACTGAAAAACCCTTTCTCTCTCTCATGTTTAACCAAATATTGTATTTTGGAAATGATATGCCATCTTGAGTACACACAAAACAGACATTTTACACAACACTCGCATACATTGCACTCTAAAAATGCAAATTTTTAGTGAAATTGATCCTACAGAGAACTTGTATGTAGTATATTAGAGAGATGGGATTGGTTTATGCGTGGTCTGTCTTTCCTGAGCCCTTGTCATCTAACAAAGAGACAACATGAGAAAAAGATATATAAATAACTTAAATGTCTCTCTGTCGATGTATATTATTTCACAAGATAGTTTTTTCTCCGTTTCTCCATAATATCTTAAAGAAAAAAAAAATCTCTTCAATTGGCAATCTTTAGAGTTGATTTTTAAAGTGTTAATAAATAAAATATGTGTATTTTTCTTAGACAAAAATCTTCAGAGTATACGAAATTTAACTCTTTTTCTCACTCAATATTGAATGATAATCAAAGTTGAGAATGTATACTAACCGCAAATATTTAAATTAGTATTCATAAAAGTGATATGTAGAGCCATCGAGCTATGCGATCGACACTTTCAATGAAAAAGGTGGAGAAGGAAGAAATGATCGCTTCTCTAGATGAATAAACAATTAATTGTTTCTTTTTCCATAGAATCGCTGAGGTCTAGGCAAATTGTTGTGTGGTAAGATCACGCGTAAGCGGGTGGAATTGCAAATCGATATGATGCATACAGAAGGTAAATTTACTGTTTGTCCACCACGAACATTAAGGAGAAATAAATAAAATTTTCAACCATTCATTCATACTTTTTCATTCGTCCCGCCAGATGTGACAATTGCAAAATCTAACACAGACGTGTCATAAGAAATAAAATGTTTCACAACTCTATTATTTGAACGATCATCGGCAGAAGGAGAGAGATATTTCGATACTGTGTGAGTTGCTAATTCGATAAATAAATCTCAAAATGTCCTGTCCGACAAACAACTCCACAAATCAAAAGACACACAAACCACAATGGAGAGTTACATCAAAAATATTTCAATACGATAAATCCAAAAACTGATACAATCACTTATTAACTTCTTTTCTTTTCACCACGCCACAAGACAATTCACAGTAACTAACAAATATTGCGATCAATTGAGTTTCCAAGTAAATTATATGTTCAACTGTTTGGATGGGAAACACACTATGGCTTCTGGAGATGAATTATCGCCTTAAAAACTCACTATGTTCTCCCCTATTTCAAAAAGACAATGTATACGGTAAATGAGAGAGAGGCGCGCTCGTAGTCGCGATCGCGACTGATCTGTCGCACCGTTCACTTTGAACTGAGGCTGTTGATCGCGACACGACTGCATTGGAGCTATGGAGTGTTTGTATTTGCCCAGAGATCTGGGCAGAGAGGAGATCCGCAATGCTGAGATCGACTGGAAATATACATTTCTTGAAATAGAGTCGAGCACGTTCTACTGTCAGAATTTAACACTTCTTTTTTCTCTCTCTCTCTCTCTCTCTTCACCTCATCTCACTGTCTTCCCTCCGCAATCTTCTTCTCTATTGCAATTGCACGATCATCACTGTGATCGATAACGACAAATTAAATTGTTTCTTCACTTCTCACGTCATTTCATGTAATAATAATTTAATAGGCAGAGAGACAGCACCTATACATTACAAATAATGAACACCACCTCTGTGCCGAAAGGAAAAGGAAAGTAATAATACGGTTGATGAGTCACAATAAAACTTAGACACACTCTAGAGGAGGAAAAAGATCAGTCTAATGACCTTTCTATGTCCATTTTTAGTACAATACTCAATGCTAGAGACAATTATATTTCACGGTGGTTTAATTAAATATCACCATTTCGCTATTTATAGTATTTTATCATAATATAACCCAGTGTTGAGTTCCCTATACTTTTCATTTCTCTAATTCTCAAGACTCACCACACAATTTCCCACATTAATCAATCAATTCACAATAATACACTTGACCAAACTCCGATCGCGAGAGATCAAGTCACATTGATTGTGTGTGGGCTTATTGACTTCTTTATTTTGTCGGATGTCTCTTTCTCTCTGTCTCTCAATACAGACGCCACACGGCTGTGATAGGACAAACCACTGATTTTTTCATTGTTCCTCCTCTTTTGGCAATTCTTTTTATTGCACCATCAATTTTTATTTATTGCTGATTAGACGATATTTTCACGTGAAAACGACTTGGAGTATTTATCTCTATTTGATCTCTAATGACATCGTAAAGTAATTTTTCTACCGACAAATTTCATGGGCAGAAGTAAAAACCAAAAAAAAAAATCTAATGTTTGCACTTTACATGGTATCCAAACTTGTATTAGTCACAGAGTGTGCTTAAATTCTAATTAGTCGAGGGGTCCCGCAATCATACCTAAACAGGTTTTTCTAATCCTAATTGATTCATCGTCCCATTTGCTACCTAAATCATCCAACACTTCCAAGTGTGGTACAAGGAAATCACTTCATATGGCGAAAGAGATAAGATATGGATGGAAAGAATATGCATAAGATCTTACTACACATATTTCTACATATATAGAGCATATAGTAAGTGAATAATATTAAAACAGTGCTATTCATTCTCATTTTCTCGTTCGCCTACATAATTGATACGTGGAATCAAGTTGAAATGAGAAATAAACCACCTACACACGTAGTCACAAAACTTCCCAAACTCCCCAATTGATTAATATGAACTAAATTCTTTATATTGCAATATTTGTCGGCAAATTTTATATTTATGAGCACTTATTTAACATGGAACACCGGCAAAATTTATTACGTTTGCAATTTGACGTTTTGTCCGTACAACACTAAAATTGTACAATATGCCACTCGTTGCATATTTAGAGACAGCAATATCCGCCAAAGAGGGGGTGGAAAAATTCGGACATTCACTCGAAAAAATACATGGCAAAAGCCATGTGCATAGTAATTAATATTGTATATACATTACACTGTGATCGTTGAAATTGTGAGAAAAATTTTTCCCGCCACATGAAAACCAGCTGCTTTTCCCTATGCCTTCATTCCACTAGCAACTCACCCAGAATGCCATAAATTCAATTTCAAAAGCGGAAAAATATAAAATAAGAAACCATGATATAGAAAATCTGTTGCAACCTTATTCTATAACGCGCTAATGCATACAATATTCTTAACACTTTTCCATTTAACTCATGTATACTGATAAGAATCCAATAAATTCTCATTTACCAGCAACAGATTATTCCGAAAAATCATACAAGTTTCACATGCAATAAACATTTCTAACATGTTGTGTGTTTATTAGTGTGACTCTCAGTACACAAGTCTCGTATTGAAATTGTTAATAAAAAAAACACCTTTTAGCGGACAAAGCTGACAAGTGGAATGCAGTTAAATTTGCCGGAGAATTTCGCCAGATAACAACCATTGCGCGAAATGTACTCTCAGCAAGAGTCCCATAAACACACCGAGATTGGACTGTTTCATTCATCCCCGAGAAAGAGACATTGTAGAAAAGCATATACATTAAAATTGACCATTTAAGTGTTCTGGAGTAAGAGGAGCATTAGGAGTCAATTTCCAATCAATAGTCAATTTACAACTGAATTGATATTTCCAATTTTACCATCTCTTTTGACGATGCCGCATTTGATTATTTGCCCATCACTCCTCTGCCATCGGAAACATATAAAAGTGTAAAAAAAATTGCCTCTAGGCTAACTCCTTTTTTACCATTACCTCAACATCAAACTCTCTCAAATTGTTTAAATTTTCTAACAATCACCTCTTTGTCGTAATTATAATGCATTTACAAATACTCTTCTTGGCATGAGGAATACTCAATTGAATGATGTGAGGTGAATACAAAAGCAATTAGTTATTTTTTTTCACCCGTATTCGTCCACCAATAGATATCAGAGGAAAAAAAATTCCCGGTCAGCAACGACAATTGAGATGTTTACAACAATTGAGAAATTTTCTCTGCTGTTTCTCAACTCTTTAAACCACATTGAAGAAAGACGAAAGTGATTAGTGAAGACATCAACCTTGTGAAACAATCGTGTACAACCAGTCGTATGAAACACAATGATCAGAAAACATAGACTCACCTCAGTTTTGAATCTCTTGCTTGCACTTCGTCTTAGAGTGTTGCAATTAGACACACTAGTGCCAATACGATCAGTTTCATCGCTGGAATTTGTCATGCATCGCCTCGAGAGCTCCACCAACTCACCAACTGGTTGCACCTGCAATTGCAAGGGATTCTAATCAGTTTCTCTATTCAATTTTCATCACAGAGTAATTAAATCATAACTCAATCAGAAATCCAATCAACCTTTACATTGATGGGGATGAATTTGAATCATTTATGAAGCAGCAAAATGCAAAATGTTAGCTTTCAGTGTTCCGTGAAAGTTCTTTCTACATATATGTTTATAAATCCGAGCAGGAGATATAAAGAAGACTTACAGTCTTCAAATTTCAATGCTTTCAACAGGTATTGCGGATAGGAAATACTCTCAAATCATTGAAATATGTTAGAAAATTTACCTGAACAGTCACACTTTCGCCACTATTGCGGATCATCTCAATTATTGTCTCCCGCGGCAAATCCTCAACGGAAATGCCATTCACTTTGATGAGTCGATCTCCAGGCAGGAGTCCAGTGGCATTTCCTTGTGCACCAGGTTCCGCAAAAATGACAGGCCGGAACACGGGTGAAAATAGAGAAGCAGAACGATCTAAACAGATGGCTTTTCTCAGACTGAAGCCAAAATCATTGCGTGGTGTCTTTTGGCGCTTAATCACCAACTCCCTCGGTGCCGGAAGATTCACCAACTTGATGGCCGGCAGTGGCAGGCTAATTTCTTCAAATGCCTGCACGCGTGACCATCGATGGAGGCCCTGAGACTCGCCAACGGGACTCAATGAAAAGGGTGGCGTGGCGAAAGATGAATTTGTTGTCGTGTCAGTCAAGCTCTCGGCACTTGGCGACGGAGATGTTATGATGTGGAGTGTATTCATCATCGATGCGTTGTGTTGATTCTCACTATCTGCGAAACCCTTCGTTGGTAGATTGTGATACGCAATCACCTCATTCTGCAATGTATTTCTCATGAGGATTGACGATGAATCTGGCGATGGAATGTTGGAAGACTCCTCAATGGTTGACGCCACATTGATGCGCGGTCCTTTGAGAATGCCCCGCTTCGGCGGTTTGGGTGGAACTGGGGGCAAAAGTCGCGACTACAAAAGAGAAGAATTAAACATATTGTTAGTCAAATGGACAATTTAACCTTGTCATTTTCAAATCATATTTACAATTCCACATAAAACTCTTTGAATCTCGTCAGCTTTTATGTGTGTTTTCATCGTGTGACGCAATTAGCTTATTTATATCGACAAACACTTTAGCGCGACCACCATTCACAAGACATTTCATCTCTCTTGCAAATCTTTTATTCCACGTGAAAAATGTAAAATAGAAGAGATGCGAAAGAATTTTTTTCAGCTTCATGTGTGAGAAGCCGTCGTAGAATGTGGTAAGCCACTTTGACTGCTAAAAAATATCGTATTTCTAAAACATAATGAAATATAACAAGCCATTTGTCACTGATTGAATGTCTCTTCATGCCGAAATGCTCCTTCTTGTCCTCATCTAAGTACTAATATTGCGTTAAATTGTTCACAATGTGAATTTTAATTTTTTTTCTTCTTTTTCTCTCTTTGACTTCATCTCTCATCTCACAGTTGTTTTTTTCGTTCCTCAATTGCTCGTTTTTTTTTTAGTACCACGACAATTGGAGCGTTAAATGAAAAGTGTAACTCGATGAAAAAGTGAATCTCCAATCATTCACCTCATCTTTTTCAACCTATATTTTTATTCTCATTAAATTCATTCAACTATATATTTACACGACACGAAGAAGGAAGAGAAATATCAAACAATGACAGTGAAATATTCTCAAGAAACACTTTTTCTTTGCAAACACAGACCACTCGAGAATTCATTCGCAATATCACAACAATATAGTCTCCAAACTAACGCTTTGAGTCGATATAGTTTCACAAAAAAAAAGAAATAAAATTGGTAGAGAAACACTTCTCACCTACTTGTTTATTGATTTTATGAATTAAGATCATTTTCCACATTCTCTAGCATGATCATTTAACCTTGATGTATGAATTTATTTTATCACAAATTCATTTTTCAGTCTTCACCTCTCAACATAACACGTAAAGCTCGTATTCCTCGTTTCAACACATTCAAACAGTATGATTCAAGAGAATTCAAGAGAAAAATCCAAAGATTAGATAAAGTGCTATTGAACGACGAATTGATAAAGATACTAGATTTATCAAAGGACGGAATTTAAACAGTGAAGGTATAAAATAAATATTTTCAATATATAAACTATAAGTAATATTTGTTGATAATTCTGTATAATACTCTTCAACTTCTTGATAAAGCATCACACTGATGAGATAACGAAGATGGAAAAGTGGAGAAAAACTCAAAGACATCTGGTAAAATATTTGTAAAACCAGCGAAAAAAAGCCATGGAACTTTAAAAGCAATCCCCGACACTCTTTCAACAGCAATGCCGAATAAATAAATGCTAATTTACAACATATCCTGCCTCTTTGGAATTTACATTGGAAACTTTTGCCCATCACCTCTAAAATCTCGTTCTCTCTCTCTCTCTCACTTCTCACTTCTTCTATGCTAAACGAGAAAGTTTTCTATATATTTGCGCGTTATCTTGCACAATCCCTATAAAGAGTGATACACACTCATACAAAACTATTATAAACATACATAATAACAGTGATGTTTTCCTGATTAAAGCATAGCATATTCACATCCAAATTACTCGGACTGGTTGTCCATAATTGCAAAGAATTTACATTTCATTTGTAAGATGCATAAAATAATAAACAATCCATTGTTTCTACTTTCTAAATAGACTTTTCAGTAGTGGTATCTTGAGCAATTTCGTATAGTGCTCATATTATGGGCGAAATACAGCTGAATGTGTGAGAGCAATAGTCCAGAAATGTGCAAGTGAGGTCGCATTTTATAAATTACTTTCATGAAAACTATTTTAATAATTGAATTTCCATCGAAAATTACTGCATTTATACACACATACACATTTCTGTACTCACTTTGAGCGACTGCAAGGAATTTTCTGAACTGTCCGACTGAGAAATGTTGTAGGCAATTTGCTTATACGAATAGCCATTGTTGTCTATTGTTGTATTTGCCGTGGCCAACACTTCTTCAGTACCACGATCCATCTCAACACCACGATCAATGTCCAATTGTGCGAAGAATTCAGCACTGTAGTCAGCTGTTATTCCACTTGGCAATTTTTCCTTCTCCTTTCGCCTTCCACGAATTTTTAGTGATCGTCGAACCTGCGTATGAGAGTAAACAAAAGGGAGATGAAATAAATAAATCATTGGAATTCCCTTATGTTGCACAGACAGAGAGAGCGCGCGCGCGCGCGCGCGTACGCCTGCCAACAAAAACCCATATGATTTATGCAAATACCATGGATCATCTCAATGAGGAGGTGAAAAACCGATGCATTTTAATTGCATAACATTGAGAATTGTTCATGTTTTTTTTTCTTTCCTCAATTTCTCCTTCCAAACAAACCACGGTTATGGTTGTAAGCTTATATGTATGTATGCACATAAAACTCGTAATTGTTGAGTTAAAACTCACAATAAGAACTTTTGTGCGGCGCAAGCAGATCCCAAGTATATCAACAACAGGAAATGAAAATGAAAGTGGAACTAGCATAAGATTGCATTTTCAGCATTTTCTTCTTCTCTCTTTCCTTTCTTCATTCCTCAACATCATGAAAACACACATAAATCATGCATACCAATCATGTAATTCATCTTATTGTGACACGAAAACTCATAGATTGTTCGAGGGTGATAAGAAAAAAAAAGGAAAAATCTAACATATTATGCAGCACAAATTATCACTGTAATCTTCTTGAGAACTAATTAAGACAGAGAATCTGTGGTTTTAATTAACATTCTTCAATCTCGCATCATCACAATCATCTCTCAATCTCTTCTAAACACCACTTTTAATCTCCACGGTAGATTTTTCCTTCAATACGCTGAACATGTAATCCCAAGAAACATAATCAATAAATTGTGTCTGTCGCTCCAGACGGTTCACCAATCCTCCCCCTTTTCCACACACTTTTCTTTTCCTCTCTTATCCATTTCATATTTCAATGCTAATTTCTTCTTTTCGTACCTGTGTGTGTGTGAGAATGGTCATATTACGAGAGAGGGAGGAACCCACAAAAATTCCAATGAAATTAAAGAGTCACTAAATTAAATTTATACACGCATGCGAGAATAAGCAGAAAACCCGTTGTTTCGATAACACATGTAATTCAAATGAAATGAGCTGATTTATGGTATTATTATTAATTTGACTTCTCATCTACACTGCACACAGAAGAAAGTCAAACCCGTGGAAGTTCTATTAAGTGTTTCACATAGAAAAACTCAATTTTTAGACAATATGATAGTGTAAGTAATACAAAAACGTCCACTAATTCTTTGCGTTACTTTTCATAGATAAACAAACGTGTTTTCACACAAACTCAGGAATATTTATGAAAGAAATTTTTGCATACCAAATAAGCAAATTCTAATCGTCTATACATAATACATATATAATATGTAATTATGTCTGAATGTGATTCTATTTTGGAGTGTGAGAATATTTGAGGTAAAACAGGAATTTATGAAAAAGATAATGAAATGATTACTTTACTTTCGTTCTACTCCACTAATTTCTCAAAATCGCTTGTACTGTTCGTATTTTCCTGAATTATGTTGAATATCCAAAAGGTTAGAAGAGCAATTGATCCAAATGAAGCTGCATCTTCTCTATCTCTCTCTCTCTCTCGTTTACTTTACCCGTCTTTCGCCATCCATTTCTTTTTCCACTAAAGCCACACACATTTCCCTCCACGATCGTGACATGAACCTGCATTATTTTCATTTTTTCTCTCCCCATATAGTATTCTCTCTTCCCCCACAAAGCCTAAACACTAAATTGACTGTCGACACTATCTCTTCTTTTTGGTCTGTCTATTTATGCTATGTGCATGAAATTCTCCTCAATGCGGGACATTTCGATCGTATACTCTCACTTTGCTCGAACGCCTTCCTCGTATTTGCGAGCTGTGCTTGGCCTGAGACACATTTGCACTATAGACAGAGTCTCTATATAGACGGAGAGTGAGTTGAGACTCTCTATGTGGGTCTCTTGTCAGTGATTTCTCGTTTCAAGAAAGCAAGAGCAGCACCACTTCTGCCCACAGTATTGTTTTTTGCTTTGCAATTTTTGTTTTGATCACCGTTCACACAGCAATTTGCTGGACACATAGCTTCATGTGCGCCTCCGTGACGTAATTCACCAGCGGCCAAATACCGTTTCACGTATAACACACTCTCAAACTCCCTCCACTGGACAGCAAAACGATTCCCCGGGATCGTGTCATCCAGCTTGTCGCGCACTCACATGGAATTTAATTGGGCCTTTGCCATTACAGATCGTGTTGTGCATCCTAAACTGACCAGCTCATGAGCTACTCCTATTCTTCTCTCTTCTCTTCCATATAGAATTCCGTTCATGCTGATCATTGTCACAAATTTACGACTCTCCATCGGATTTGCACGTTTCCCCTAATTTCTCTAAACTGTGCACATACCATAAGTGGAGAGCGTGCGTCTTGAAACTTGCTCAATATAAGAGAGCAACAGATCATAAGCTGATCGTCATACTCCTCACTTCTTTGTGTCAAGCTCCATCAGTTTTCCACAGCACAGGTCAAAAGTCACTGGCATTTCACTCACAGAGATGAATCGCCCTAAATCTCAGCAAAATTATTGATCATGACTAAATATTTACATTACACTGATCTTAACATCTCTTCACGTACTTAAACTCAATCTCATGTACATAGAGATTGATCCAGGCTGAAAGAACAGTAGAGTAGTTGTCGCGGATAAAAGAAGGAAAAGAATAGAGAGTGATGAGAGAGTAAATCACGGAAAATCGATCAGTATAGAGACGCATAAAGCGCATGGTAAGATTCTACTCACTTAACACACTTTACATACATTAGCCACATGTTGTTACAATTAGAATGATTGTAACCAGTACTTCTGTGGTTAACCGATATCAAAAATAAATGTTTAGTTCGCAATAAATATTTACGAGAGAATCGAAATCAATGTTTTTATTTTTAAATTGTCATCTGATTTTCACCCCTCTTCGATTTTTATTTGACAGGCATTCAGATTGAGACACACTGTAAGCAAAAAAATTAATATTCTTTTTCGAAAGCGATGAACTCTCGCTACAGCTGTATTTATTCATTTCTTAATTGCCTCTTTAAGTGAACCTCTCCGAACTAGAATAACCTAAAGAAGTGTGAATAATTTATTAATATATGTTCAGTGTCTCTTGCCAATTGCTTAATCTGCTCGCCTCTCTTTCTCTCTTTTTCCCTCCTCTTGACTTTTCGCATTAACGCAAATTTCGCATTAATATTTAAACACCTTTCGACACCTCAAAAAATGCTATCGTCTGATAAGATTTTGCAATAATCTGTGCAAACACATTCGCCCATTCGAATTTGGGATTTTCTCCCAGTGCGAGAGCCTCTGATAAGATAACGCGCATGAGTTTGCAATGGCAACAAGAAATCGATAACCTTCGGGAACTCGGTCCCAGGCTCTACCCACCCAGCGGGCGAGGCAGGTGCGAACCCCGAGACTCTCGAGATGTTGTGATAAGAGAAGATCACAAGAGAGTGCTCGGGAATGCTGGCAAATGTCTCTCAAAGAGATCTAACAGTTGAGGCTGCAAACTCGTTTCAATTGCGGTCATTATAGAGCCACCTTGTGCATACAATTTTCAACTCAATGCTGCGACAATTATCCCTCCCTCCTCACCTCGTCCAGGCGCAGCAGCTCCTCCGTGGACATACTGCCGCCGGAGACACCCTGCTTCGCCTCCTTCCGCAGCTTCTTCTCGCGCTTCCGGCGCTCCTTCTCGTCCCTGTCGGACTTCTCCTTCTTGATGAAGTTGAACATTGTGTCACGGGGCGCTCCGCCACCCGCGAACGGCGCAAAAGAGGTGTGCTGGAGAGAACAGTTATTCACTATTTCGGGCCCGCTTCAACTATTCGCTGCAACGGTATCCGGCCATTGTCTGGGCCGCGGCCACACCGCCAAATTTCGCCCCAAATTCAGAGCCTCTCTTTCTCTCACTCTCCGGGACGGGCGTCTTTCACTTTGGCAAAACAATGGAAAGCGCAGTGTGGGTGAGAAGCGCCCAGCTGCCTTGCAGACTTCCGGAAGTGTACTTTCGTGCTCAATAGAGCAGATGCCACGATTTTCTGCACAGAACACAAATTTTGACGTGGTTCCACGGATCACAAATCACTGTTTTTTTGGGCGACACACTGGAGGGGCCCCTCTGTAAGCACTCTTTTTTCACTGTCTCGCCGTGAGAACACCGTGACTCTCGCAATTGTCACTCGCGCTGAATCACCAAAGATGCTCGATTGTTTTTGTGATATCGCACAAATAAACACTGATTGAGATAAAATTCCACAAATTTCAGTCACTGCAAACTCCCCAAACAAATGTAGATTTTCAACTGGGCACCAAATCTTACTTTGTCAACTCTCTGTCAGACTACCGAGCGATGTTCGCACCGCCCAGACGGGTTGCCCGAACACTTCTGCCTGCTTGCAGAGCCACCAGGTGACTGGTATCGCAAAGTCACATCGATATATCGCCCAGAATCATAAAATAATAAGGAATTTACATGATTTCCGTCTTTTATCGACTTGTTCTCTTAATAATCACTGCTATTGAGGGTGAAAATGAGTCAAATTGTTAAATATATTCACGAAAACATCATGATAAAATAAAGTAAAATCACCAACCGGCTGCTTTCGATTTCCCGAAACCCACACGAAGTTCATTCGGTTTTCGGGCCATCTGCTGTTTCCCCATAGCACTTCGTCAGCGAGAGAAGCGTCCATGAACATGTCCACAATGGTTCTGAATCAGTGACACTGCAAGGTACAAGGATCACAAATTCAAGAAAAATATATAAATTGTTACAGACACTGGCTACAAGTGTGATCAAATGCTGGATCATCCGGAAGAGGAAAAGTTGGGCAATGAATTTATGCATTTGAGAAAATACTCACTTTGCCATTCAATGCATATTCTTCTGCTGACTTTGTAGATTTGTCCACGACCATTATATAGCTGATTCCTCTCGCGTCTGTGGATGGGTTGCGCTCGCCTCATAAATCGCGTTGGTCCCTCGGAAACCTTGTCAGTATAAATTGTGACTTGAAGCCGAGATGATCTTTCGAAAAGTGAGCCAGTCGCCTAGTTTGAGACTCCCCTGCCGTTTTCGTGGTGTGACGGGCCAGAGGCCAAGTGTACGGCTGAAAAAGTGCGAGAAATCGTGATCCCACATCGGACGGTATCCACGGGCGCGAGAGAGAATCGCCACCGTGGCGTGGAAAATTGGGAAAAAACGATGGGAATATGAGGCAGAAAATAGAGTCTCACAATGAAAGTCTTCCGTGACCTAGAGAAAAGTTCAGTTTTCATCAATAATTCATCGGATATTTGTAAGTTTCCCTTCTTGATGGCTTTCACTGGTGCCTGGGGCAGAGATTGGGGCTGGTGTGAAGTGGATTTGTGCATTTTTCACGGAGAGAATTAGATGGTTTTAAAAATAAGTGCCTCGGTCACTTTTCTCCATTTTTTCTTCCCCTTCTTTTTTGGTGCATCACACGTCATAATTCTCACGCACACACACACACACGCGAGGACCGCATCTTCGAAAATCTTCGAAAACGAAGGGCGGCAATTTTGAATGGGACTTGAGTGATGATTTTTCTGGGTATTTTTAAGGTGTTTTGCATGGAAATGGACAGAAATACACAATAGTAATATTCGTAGAGTTAATTTTATCACACAGAAGGAAGAAATTCCAGAGATGCCCCGCAATTAGGTTCAATTTCGTGAGGTTACTGTATCCATTTGGCTGTGCACCTCACTCAAGAGGCTCAATTAAATGATCTTCAGTACGAGTGTATCTCTTGTAATTCACTGGCCTCGTGCCACGTTGTTCAATTGATCTTGTAATTCGCTCACATTTCCTCTCTTCTACTCCACAGAGAGCCACTGGATCTGTCGCTCAGCACGAGACTCGCGGCAGCAAAGTGAAAGAGGAAGCAATACCAACAGAGGATGACTTCACGGTAAAGAGAGACAAAAAAAAAAACATTACATTATTTACAATGCTGTGGAGGCGATCAAAAAGTACACCAAATGTGTTAATTGCGCCTTTTCTCTCTCTCTCTCTCTTCCTTCCATAATGCCATTATTATTATTATTGGTTTCTCAACACAAGAGTGCAATATTTAAATAAGGTACTTTCTATTTTTCACATGTGTTTCTTCTCTGCTGAGTGTCAACGCAAAAGGGGGAAAAGGAATTGGGCATCTGTCACAAATTATTCCATTTGATATTTAATCAGACACATCAATAAACATTAGACTAAACTCGTTTCTCAATGTTCAGCAGAACATGACGAAATGTGTCTTGAGATCGAACAGAAGGCAGAGCGAAATGACTTATAGGCGGACTTAGAAGTGATATTGTGAGAGGTTGAGCGATAATCTTGGCTTGTTGGGGAATGCGGGAGAGAGAAAGAGCGCAATCATCATCAACTGTGATCCAGTTTAGAAATTGAACTCTGGGACTGTTGTGTGGCTGTGGGATGATCATACGACAAATTCGTGGCTTTTCAGCCAATGTTATGCTGCAGTGTGAATGTTTGAAGGATGCTGGAGAGGAAGTCAATATCCGGATGATTGAGATAGTGGCAATTTCTTGTGCAAAATAATCCCACAGTTTCTGGAATTTAACTTAAAGATGATCGAGAGTATCTGGGGATGTGAATTATGCAATGAGACTTTTCAAAGGTCAACAAGTCAATGATAGACAACTATATATTTCTGTTTGTTTCTGTTTGTGTTGAAAATAGGACAGTTTTATATTATTTTCTGGTTTTTCCTTGATCAAATAAAATCCAATAGTTAAACCTAGTTTTGCAACTTTGATAAATTTTTTCCTCCACTTTCCATAAAATCGCAATAAAGTGATAAAAAAGATAAGAGACATTTTGCGGGATATCTTTGTTTTAAAGTCAGGTTTTCTGATCAATAAATTGACTGAGAGATTTTCATTTTTGCCTCTTACCCGAAGACCATATGGGCTGAAAAGTGAAACCATACTGCGTTTTATTAGCTTGTAATTACTTCACTTCTCTCTGTGTAAAGTCAATATTCTCATTTTCAATAAGTTGAACCAATATTGTTTCTCATGTCTGGAATTTTTCCCATAAACAAGAAGCACACCAAATGGTCATATTTTAGCAAGTTAAGCAAATGGTGTAATGTTTATCGCTTCATTTGGTGCTACTAATATATAAAAAAATGAGAATTGAATGGGAATTTCTATATGGAGGAAATATTGACCGTTTGTGAATGTGTGAAGGGAGATAGAATTCTTGGAAATCTGAGGAAAATTTGATATCTCGCCAGAGTGTGAATGTTTATCGTTAGACCACGAACAAAATCCCTGTGCAACTGTGGCAAATTTTTGTTTGTGCAGAGTGTTATATTTTTTTTGAGCTGATAAAATGAATCAATCCTAAATTGTGAGTTGCTATAACGACTCATGTTGGTGGTACTTTTTGTCGATGCTGCACTTTAGTCTGTAGAAAGGTCAAGAAGTGACATGTCCGTTGCTCTCATTTTCTATGATGTCTCAGCATATTAATTATGTGTTGTCTGTTTTTTTTTATTCTCTCTCCGTCAGACTCGATCGGCTTTTCATCCTGCTGGAGTCGGGCTCATCGGCGGTGACTCGACGGACGGCGGCTAAGCAGATTGGTGAGGTGCAGCGCTTGCATCCTCATGAGCTGCACAATCTCTTGAATCGTGTCATTGCGTACATGCACAATTCATCGTGGGATACGAGAATTGCTGCTGCGCAAACTGTGGAGGCAATCCTAAACAATGTGCCGCAATTTCTACCTGTATCAGGAGTCAATCAAGTGGAGGCAACGAAGGACGAAAAACCACCGGCTACACAGCTGCAGTTCGCCACATTTGATCTGGTCAATATGTTGCTGACCAGTGGACGCCTAATGGGATCGGAGGGGAATGAGTTTGATTTTCAAGATGACATAGAGCGCAACAGCAAGGAACGACTCATGATGCAGCGTGAAATTATAAGGGAGAAGCTGGGCTTTGCCAAGGGTGACCAATTTGGTATTGCACTGGAAGAGTTGGTCACGCTGGATGACGTAAGATTGGAAGCGAGCACAAGTGAATCAAGAGCAAGACTGACTCCATTGGAGGATGGGAACAACATGACTGACACTGCTACATCTAGTCTCAGCTGTCGAGAGAAGAATAGGGCTAAGCGAAAGGCCAGACAGGGATTTCTAGCTGGAACATACAATCGCAGCAACTCGACAAACGGCGGTGGATCTCTCGATGTGCCCGGCGAGCCGCCGGAGAAGAAGAAGAAGATTAAGGATAATTTAGTCGAGAATCCCATTAACTACAGTTATGGTCCTGTGCCGGATGGCACTGGCTCTTGGGGTGATGCCACAGCATGGCCATTTGAGGCATTCTGCACCAAACTCTATAGTGATCTGTTCAATCCACGCTGGGAGACTCGTCATGGAGCCGCGACTGCTCTTCGGGAACTGTTCAAGGCGCATTCGGAGAGTGCTGGCAAGATTTGTGGCATGAGTGTGCAGGAAATGGAGAACAGTCACACGAGGTGGCTTGAGGATGCGGTGTTGCGTCTCTTATGTGTTTTGGCGCTGGATCGTTTTGGTGATTTTGTCTCTGATCAGGTGATTGCACCAGTGAGAGAGACATGTGCCCAAGTTTTGGGTACTCTGCTGAAGCAAATGCCCGAGGAGAAGATAAATTCCACAGTGGAAATACTCTTGAGGATGATTAAGCACGAAGAGTGGGAGGTGAGACATGGAGGCCTGTTGGGAATCAAATATCTCCTTGTTGTGCGTGAAGATCTACTACAGAACATTCTGCCGGCGCTGATAAATGACATCCTGATGGGATTATTTGATCAAGAAGATGACGTTGGAGCTGTGGCAGCGGCTACGCTCATCCCCATAGCGTCATGGCTACCGAAACTACTTAAGCCAATGGAGGTGTCGCGAATTGTGAAGATGCTGTGGGATCTGCTGTTGGATCAGGACGAACTCACGAGTGCCAGCAACAGCTTCATGGGTCTCCTTGCGGCAATTCTGAGTCTTCCCAATGCCTCTAACTGGATCCAGTGAGTATAGACTTTCGCTGAGTTCTCTTGATTTGCTCTCAGTGATAATGTGATAATGCGCAATTAGCAATTTTGCACACGCATTATTTAATTATCGCTGGCTTAATTGAGAACACACGAGCACTCGCGATTTCCGTTCGAGAATTTGGCAAGTGGATGAAAATAGCGTAAATTGGTGGGGGTGTAAAAAAAAAATGGGCGATGGGAAAAGTTCATAATAAATTTCTCAGAGATCATTGAATATAATGCGAACGAAGAGAAAATTGCTGGTAATTTGCATCACATTGATTAATGAGTATTACTTAAAGCAAATGATTGACGTAAAAGTGTAGTGTTAGAGAGTCTGCCGCATTAAAGCATAGAAAAGTAAGATATTTTTTTTTATTAATTGGATGATCAATGATAATAAAAGTAATATATTGCTTATTTTATTGCAATCACGAGCGTTTTGCAAGGCATTGCAGATTGTTAAAACCAACGGTGTAACAGTTCAGTTCCTTTTCGCTATAAAATACTTGATTTTTCGTCACTGTTCCTACAGTGAAATTAATATTAAAAAAAAAACCTGTGATATTTTTTGTAAAGTTACACGCACACACAATATATTTACTATTGTGTGGTTTGTTAATAACAGTTGCACGGAAACATGAAGAGGTTCTGAATACGGTAAAATGACCAATTTGCCATTGCACTTAAGATACAATGTTGATAAGAATAATTGTCAATGCTAATTAGGGATCACATAATAATTTATTTGCAAAATACGGATATTTACATACAATTTATGAGTGTCAGTTTGTATCAAAATTAAGAAAATGGGTGTATAATGAAAATTTCTTGGCAAAAGAGTCCAATTTAAATGCGATGCAGTTGAAATTTTGTACTAAATTTGTATTGTTATTAGGCACAACAATTAATATGCCTTCTTCTGTTCTTCTTATTCTCACAGAATGGAGTCAATGTCTGTCCTCGTGCCGCGTTTGTGGCCTTTTCTGAGTCACAGTTCCAGTTCTGTACGTCGCTCCACGCTGCTGACAATGAAGACGCTCACGCAAGTGGTGACAGTGAGTGAGGATGCAGTGTTGTCAGCGGATGGGAGTGGAAAGGAGGAAAGCCCAGCAGCTGAAGCATTGGTGTTGAACATTGGGGTGAAAAACTGGGATTGGACATTGCTTCAGGAGGCACTTCGGCATATCTTTCAGAGAGTACTCATTGAGCATGTGGAGGATGTTCAGAGTCTGGCGGAGATGGTGTGGGAGAATTTGGTGTTGAATTCAGATCTCTCAGCACTATTGCATGCCACATGTCCTTTTGTGGCCTCTTGGCTATGTTTGGCCATGCAACCAATGCGTCTGGCATTTGATCCGGCCAGTTTGATCTACGTGAGAGTGTCAGGAATGCGTGAGAAGAAGGGAAATCGTAGCAATTTAGTTGACACCACAGAATCTGTTATGAATTTGCAGCAGAAAGTTTATTTGGGTGGAACTGAAACTGTTCCTCAAGATGTGAGAGAGAAGAATGTCGATCGAGCACGTTACAAAGCATGTCGTATGTTGGGATTATTGTCGAAATTTCTGGTTCTTCCAGCACCGGGAATTGCATACACAGAAGATATAGAAAGTCCTGTGAATTGCTATGCAAAAGTGCTCCTGGGACACTTGTCATCCAGATCGGCACTCCAGAGATCTATCAGTGCCATGGTGATTAGCTTCTGGGCCCTTGAAGATTCCACAATTCGCCCTGGGCCGGAGATGTTACGTGAAAGGCTGAAATTGTGCCTCAATGAATGCATCTATTATGATGAAGTGGGAATTCTATTCACACGCCTACTGCAGGATTCCAGAGATTTCCTGGCTACACTAAAGCAATATAAAGTGCCCCTTGTGGAGTATGAAGGTATGAAAGTGCTGACATTGGAGCAAATTCAAGCTCTGGCCACGACTGTGACTGAGAATTTGAGGCAGAAGCACAATTTGAAGCCCAAAGTGGCCGATATGGTTGAGAGTCGGCGAAAGGGATTACAAGTATCGTGCAGTCAAACAAGTACAGAGCAGAATATCTTCAATATTGCCACTCAAGCTGCTCTGGCTGGTGCTGTGGTCTGTCTCAACTGTCTTCCTGAGCGCTTGAATCCCGTGATTAAACCAATAATGGAGTCTCTGAAGCGGGAAGAAGTGGAGATAATGCAGCAACTTTCGTCACAGTATCTTGTACGATTATTGGAACAGATTATTGAGAGAAATCCATGTCCGAACAATAAGATAATCACAAATTTGGGTGCACTTCTGAAGACTGACACAGACTTTACGCCCAAGATAGTGATCCCGCCGGAATCATATGAACAGAATCGTTCTGCTGATGAATATCATGGGATATTGACGTTGTCTAATCAAGAGAAGGCACTCATTGTGCAAAATGGACAGGCAACTCGTGGTCCTGGAAGACCGCCAGCAGTTTCTGAGGTCACACTTGAGGAGATGCGTGAAGCTGAGGATCCACAGAAGAAGATTAATCGTGTTCAGAGAATTGGTGCAACATTTGCAATTGCAGAAATTTGTCGACATTTTGGGGTACAATTGAAGGAGAAAACACCCCGCATTTGGGAACTCATGACGGATTTTATGCGAGAAAAATTGACCAAAGAATCAACGCCACTGTGGCTCACTATGAGATTGTTGGAGGAGCAGATGAGTGAATTGATGACTGCTTTGCAGATTACCGAGGTGGCTTTTCCCAATCTACACATGAGTCTCCAGGAGCAGCTTTTCGATCTTCTCCTGCCAAAGATGTCTCTTCTCATTGGACACCCCTTGAAAGCGATTAGGCATATGGTAGCGCGCTGCCTGGCCATTTTCGCATCAGTCAACTCCGCCAAAGTGATGGGATTGCTCATGGAGACCGTGATCCCCCTACTCAATGCCATAGAGAGTGTGATTAATCGACAAGGAGCCATTGAGGTGATTGTAAACATTGTCAATAAGCTACAGTTCCAAATAGTTCCATATGTGGTGCTACTTGTGGTGCCACTTCTGGGCAGAATGAGTGATCCTGATCAGTCTGTGAGACTTATTTCCACACACTGTTTTGCCACACTTATACAATTAATGCCTCTGGATGGATCAACACCAGATCTTCCCACGCTCACGGATGAATTAAGGGAGAGGAAGATGCGTGATAAGGAATTCCTTGAATATCTTTTCACGCCAAAAACAATTCCAGACTACAGAGTGCCGACTGAGGTGAAGGCTGAATTGCGAAGTTACCAACAGGCGGGTGTGAATTGGTTGTGGTTTCTCAATAAGTACAAACTCCATGGGATTCTCTGTGATGATATGGGTTTGGGTAAAACATTGCAGACCATTTGCATACTGGCTGGTGATCACAAACAGCGAGCCATTGACAAACTACCGTCAATTCCCTCCATCGTAATCTGTCCACCAACACTCACGGGACATTGGGTATATGAGTTTAACAAATTTTTGCCACAACGCATCCTCAAGCCGCTGCATTATGTCGGATTGCCCGTGGATCGTGAGAGATTACGACTGAAGATGGCTAGTCATAACCTCGTGGTGGCATCCTATGATATTGTGCGGAAGGACATTGACTTCTTTGGCAAGATCAACTGGAACTACTGTGTTCTCGATGAAGGGCATGTGATTAAGAATGGCAAGACAAAGTGCTCCAAGGCGATCAAGCAACTAGTTGCTAATCACAGGTGAGTTGACGAATACATTCCTCGTTGATTTTAAAGCTTTTGACTTTATTTGTCTGTTGTCTTTTTCAGGCTGATCCTGTCGGGAACACCAATTCAGAACAATGTCCTTGAGTTATGGTCTCTCTTTGACTTTCTCATGCCGGGATTTTTGGGTACGGAAAAGCAATTTGTGGCACGCTTTTCGCGTCCCATCCTGGCAAGTCGTGATGCCAAGAGTTCACCGAAAGAGCAGGAGGCAGGCGCTTTGGCGATGGAGGCTCTTCATCGGCAGGTGTTGCCCTTCCTCTTGCGACGTGTAAAGGAGGATGTACTCACGGATCTGCCACCAAAGATTACACAAGATTTGCTGTGCGAATTGAGTCCGCTGCAGGAGAGATTGTATGAGGACTTCAGCAAGACACATTTCAATACTGAGCTGCAGGACTGCATAGATGGGATGGGAAGTGAGGTGGCACAGAAGCGTCCACATGTCTTCCAAGCACTACGCTATCTACAAAATGTCTGCAATCATCCCAAGTTGGTGCTCAACGCTAATCATCCGGAGTTTGTAAAGATTCAAGCGGAACTCGCGAGGAGTAATGGAAGTCTCAGTGATATTGAGCATTCAGCCAAACTGCCAGCTTTGAAGTGAGATGAAAAACATTAGCATAAATCTCATAATTCCTCTTTTCTTTTTGTTATTAATTTATGACTTTTTCTCTCTCTAGGCAACTACTCATCGATTGTGGCATTGGGAATTGGGATGTGTCCATTAATCAACATAGAGCTCTGATCTTTTGTCAATCAAAAGCGATGCTGGACATTGTGGAGCACGATTTGCTGAAGAAGCATCTTCAGGCTGTGTCGTATTTGCGACTGGATGGAAGTGTTCCGGCTGGTAATCGTCATGAAATTGTGACGAAATTCAACAGTGATCCAAGTATTGATGTACTTCTACTGACAACCCTCGTGGGTGGATTGGGACTTAATCTGACTGGAGCTGATACGGTGATTTTCGTGGAGCACGATTGGAATCCAATGAAAGATCTTCAGGCGATGGATCGTGCACACAGAATTGGACAGCGCAAGGTGGTGAATGTCTATCGCTTGATCACGCGCAAGAGTCTGGAGGAGAAGATTATGTGTCTGCAGAAGTTTAAGCTACTCACGGCCAATACTGTGGTGAGCAATGAGAATGCCAGCATGGAGACAATGGGCACTGATCAGTTGCTGGATCTATTTAAATTGACTGATCAGAAGGCTTCACCAGTAGAGAGAAAGGGCCCAAATGATCGTGTGTCGATGAAGACGGTCCTTGAGACGCTTCCTGAATTGTGGGAGGATCGTGAGTACGAAGAGGAGTACGATTTGACACAGTTTCTTGATAAGCTGAAGAAGTAGTGTTGTGAAAATTTTACTGATATGTACTTCCATTAATCGAGCAAATTTTGTGTTTCGTAGTTTTGCGTGGCGATCCCGAATTAAAATTCTTAATTACTACTTCAATCAATTTCTGTAATCTTTGAATTTTAGTCACTCTGTTATTTCATTATTGGATATCTTTCATTTTTTTTTTATTCTTCAAAGACAATTATAAATGTGTGAAACGTATTTGAAACATTTATGGATGTTTCATGAGATTATTTTCTTTTGATTGATTTTATTCTCATATTTGTTCTCAAAATTGAATGCACAAGTTCTGATAAGGAAATTGAGTGAAGTAGTGAAAGTAGCTTGATGAATAAATTTTCTAGAACTGTAAGTCGATTTTATTAGTCATTATGAATCGCATCAATGTGTCTCTTTGTGAATGAAAAAAAAAATACATAATAGCTGAACAAAAGAAATCCCCTTATTTTCTTTGTAGAAGTTTTACTATTTGCCTGGGTATTAATGAATGGATCAGTGTTTACCAAGACAGCAGACAATATATATTGCCCTACCTTATCAATGACGGAAATGATGGCCGAATTTTGCGTCGTGAAAAGTTTGCAGTGGATCATAAAAAAAGAAGGGCGTTACTCTTTGTGGGGGATATTAATGATTAAACATTCCACTGGCACCCACAATTTCCCAGAATTGCGGGGATTGTAAAGCAATTGAGCGGCAGAGGGTCTCATTTGCGATAAAAATATGTATGGTGTTTTTAGCTACAATGACTTTATTGTAGAATACTGGCAGGAACATTGAATGCGGCGTGGTATTGTAGATGAAATCTTTAGCTGATGGAGATGTCTGAGCAGGTGCGGAAGTTCTCCTGTGGTCCACATCCCAGGGCTCCTGTGCCGTCATCGCAGTATCCCCAGTTGTTGCCCACGTGGTAAGTCCACTGCAGGACGCAGCGTTTACAGGAGACATTCGGCAGGGTGATAGTGAAATTGTAGTATCCCACAGCGGAGGAGTTGAGGTAGTATTTCCCCGTGCCTGAGGATGTTTTCAGGGACGAATACTGAGCGAAACAAGCATCGGATTCGGCACCATTCGCATCCAAATTGCAGAGATTGAAGTAGAAATAGCCATTGTGGTTGGCTGTGATTAATACGGATACCGGAATTGTGGCTCCTCGCTGGTAACTTCCAGAAATCACGCCATTCCCGTACTTTCCGCCATTCTCATGATCACGAGGAGTTGGAGATCTAAGTGATGATGATGATTAGGAAAACCATTTTTGTAACTCAAGAAGAACAACCATAATCTCTTACCTGTAATCATCTCCACAGAGGCCACATTTCCCGCCATTCAGACTGTGTTGAACCTAAAGGGCGGTTTAAAAATTTAATTTTGAGCAATGTGCTGAAATTGTTGAATGATTTTCAGGATGAACTCACGTAAAATCCTCCACAATAGTTGGCATTATCGTTGTAATTGGCCAGACTGGACAAGCCGACGCGCCACAGTGATCCTCGGTTGGCGGGATTCATGAGCATTCCATGACCCGATGCCTCAAAGATCCCAACAGTGGCAAAGACAATGGCGAGAGTACACACTTTCATCATTATTCACAGCACGCGATTTTTTTTTGGCGACTTTCAGAAGATTCTCCAATATGAACTGAAGTCTGGAGACGATGGAAGCCTCCTTTTAAATGACAAACACCACTCTTCTTCTTTTCAAATCATTGATGGCACGACTCTGAGCGATAAGAACCACTTTTTTCCTTATCAGCACTCCTATCTTTCTCAATATTCTGAGCAAAAGCGCGAGGGGGCACAGAGACCAGGGATATTACGGAAATTGGCGTTATTTAGCGAATGACTTTACAAGACCCCACACTATAGTGACTATTTATTGTCTGATGGTTGTTCCTTTACAGAGCTCGCGAAATATTTGGCCAACTCTTTACACGATCCGGATATGATGATAATTCCCCCGTAAAGAAATTTTGTGGTTTTTAAATGACAACAACACACCAATTTTCATATCTTTTCGATATATTTCACCATTTCTGATCACGATCGTTGGTGTGTTGTTGTTTTTTCACGAGAAATACTCCACTTTGTAGAAATTTCGTGAAATGTAGGCCAAAGATACATTTCTCAGCTGTTTAATTATTTGCTTGACGAGAAGAAATTCATCACATTAGAATTTCCTAAAGGTCACAACACACTAATTTCCCTTACGACTCTAAATCACACATGGTTTCAACATGGGAAGTTGTGATAAGATCGTGATCTTATATTCTTCAGCATTTTCGGTTTTCAGACACTCGAAAATAGTGTAAGTATTTAAGGGGAAAATTGTAAATCACTAGGGCTAGTGCGACCTTAAGATTTACTTTGATTCATCACTATAGTCTCAGATTGATTGATGAGACATGATTGACGGTCAAGTTGCCCTTACAAGTTCCAATGCCACAATAAACAAGTAAGTATAATAAATATTAAGATAAGAAATAAGCAAATAAGTTTATCGATAACGCCAAAGATAGGACAATTGAATTAAAGAATTATGTATCTGATAAGGGGATTTTTGCATTACGTAGAATATCAGTGAATTATATTCTTTACTGTTTTTGTTCTACAAATGAACATTTTTCAAGCTGAAGCTGATTAGGAAATTACAAATTTACCATAGCTTGTATTCGCACGAAGAAAGCATTAATTGATGAGATTAATCGACACAATAAAACATCAAATGTACATCAATATATATATATTTTAATGCATTTCAAAATCATGCATCGTAAAGGGGAAAATATTTCAAAGAAATTATGACGAAAGGGAGAGGGATTTGCCTCTGGGAGAGACTATAAATTCAATGGCTGATGGGAAATCAGGGATAAATGATACAGTGTATATCAATTCTGATCCTCGTCTTGACGGGGGCTCTCACAAGTCATCGCCAGCATGCTTCCGGATGTGGCTGTTAAGACTGGATTGCTGAATGAATCGCTTCTCACATATTGCACACTGGAAGGGCCGCTCTCCCGTGTGGATTCGCACGTGAATCTTGAGACACTCAGGTGAGTAGAAGGCCTTCTGGCAGTATTGGCACTGAAACGGTTTGATGCCCGAATGCTTTCGCAGATGGATCTGCAGGTTGATCTTCTGCGAGAAGCGCTTGTCGCACAGCTCACAGAGGAAGGGCTTCTCACCAGAGTGGGTGCGCTGGTGCGAGATCAGGCCTGACTGCTGCGTGAATCTCTTCTGGCAATTAGGATGCTTGCACTCATATGGCTTCTCGCCGGTGTGCGTGCGGTAGTGTATCTTGAGACACTCGGGTGAGTAGAAAGCCTTCTGGCAGACATGACACTGAAATGGCTTAATTCCAGAGTGCTTCCGGAGGTGCAACTGCATGTTGATCTTCTGCGAGAAGCGCTTGTCACACAGTGTACATAAGAAGGGCTTTTCTCCTGAGTGTGTCCTTAGGTGGGAGTTGAGTCCTGACTGCTGTGTAAATCTCTTCTGGCAGTCTGGATATTTGCACTGATACGGTTTCTCACCAGAGTGGATCCGGAAGTGGACTTTCAGGTATTCCGGGGAGGAGAACTTTTTGGCGCACGCCTTGCACTGGTAGGGTTTCTCCTTGGGCGGTGCAGCCGGCGGAGACATGGTGGAGGACGTGGAGGGTGATCGAGAGGAGCTTGGGATGAACTTGTACGCTTCCGGGATGTCCTGTATTGTCACCGATTGTGGGTACACGGGCAAAAAGGTGGGCAGATTCCGATCGGGTGTGCTGAATTATGAAATGAAGAGGTGTACAGCTTTAGACATTATGGACAGGAAATGGGGCCAAAAGGTCTCACCTTGACGGCACGGGAGTCTTCATGGACTCCGGCAGAAATGTGTGCGAGATTCCGGGGTAAAAACAGTGCGTCTGCGGTTTAATATCACTTTGCACGTGTGGCGTGTAGTAGTGGTCAATGAGAACGTCGGGCTCCATCTTGATGGGGCACGGAAAGTCCTTTAATTCCGACGCTTCCATTGTTTAAAAAGGGCCAATTCTTCTTTTTTTGTTTCTCCTTCGCGACAAGAAAACATTACATCGGGCAATTCGTGCGCAACGATGGCAGCCCCCTTTCGAAGTGTCACACCAAATTCGACGACTGCAATTTCGAAAATGCTTTCACCTTTCTCAGCGGCGCATGTTTTGTGCGATTTTCCGGGGGGAAAATTCTCCTGTTTTGGGAAAATATTTCCATACAAGTTGCGTATTAATTTGACGTTCAGTAATGCGAAAAGTGAGTGCATCCCGTGAAGTGTGCTGAAAAGACCATTGAGCAAGTGAAAATTTTCTGCATTGTTTTCATGAACTTAACGGTGTTTGGAACAGAGCTGAAATGTAAGTGGAAAACCATTCTTTTTGCCATTTTTCACTACAAAATACCCTCTTTTCTGCGTGGTGAAAAACTCTGTGCATTGTGTAAAGGAATCATGGTGGACTCTGAAGGACTCTCGTTGGGTGGGAATTTTCCACAGTGCTTTTTCCATCGTTTTGTTGTAGGGAAAAGTGCTTCTCGGATTATCAGGAATATGCAATTGCTGGTGACATTCTCTGGCTGCACGCCAGGCCAGGCATTATCTTGTCCGAGAGGTCTTCACTTTGCACTCTCGCCATGAACTCCGCAATCCCCAGTTTATCGAGATTCGCGAATTTTGCTCTCGGGCGTAGCGAAGTGACACTGGTGAATGGCTGGAAGAAAGATCAGTGGGCAGAAAATCCTCGGATCTGCCCTGGTTGGGAATTGGAACTTACTGGCGAGATTGAAGGATAGGCAGCAATCAATAATTTTACAGCGACGTCAAGATGTCAGAATTGTTTTGCGTTCTTTGCCTTTCAGCAAAGGGAGGGTGTCTCCTAGGGGGGCGAGTGAGAGCGGAGACTCTCATTGAGACGGAGATTCCCTTTCGCCAGACCCACCCCATGGCGCCGCAACCTTCGTCGCCCCACCTCCTGGGGCTCCCCTTTTCTTCCCGCCTCGAATCCACTCAGCCGCCCTTTCGGGGAGCCACCCTCTTCAGGATGAGAGAAGCGGATGGCCTTCAAATTGAAAGCACACAAGGCACAGGGTGTCTTCGCGCGAGTGCCTTAACATCAAATTGGAAGTGATAAAAAATTCCCATGGGATTGCTTCGATTCGGTTTAATTACTCTCTGGTCTCTTCGAAGTAATTAACGGAATATTGTTAGGATGATTCAAGGTGAATGTGTTCTGTGTGAACTAAAAGCATTTGGTACATCGTTCAGCATGTGAGATTCACGGTTTAGGGTAGATCTGGCCCTTTAAATATTAGGACACATTTCCTTAAAAACTTGCTTTTTAAATTCGTCGCAATTGTATAAATTTTAACTTTTTAATCTGAATCAAATTGGATTTTTTCAATCTCAAAACTGAAATTTTCAAAAGAGTTTTGTACAATTGTTTGGCAAACAGAATAATTCCATAGTGACACCCTGTGTGTAGAATCAAGGGTGTATCGTAAGTATAGAAATAGAAGCTTGGCGAAAGCAGAAGAGAGCGAAAGAGACTGGGATGAATTATGGGAAATAGAAGGGTTATAAATTGTTAGTGGTTGAATGCTGTTTTTGAGTGTGTTTTCAGCTTTAATAATTATGTGACTAGAGGAGTGTGTCGTCCTTTCTCTCCCAGAAAACATTTCTGATATCAAGCCTTGAACTTGAAGGGGAAAACTTTAGCACTTATACATATACTTGCTGAAATACGCCCTTTTCCAAGAAATCTCTGTTATAGGGATAGAGCGTGTGTCCTTGTTTAATGGCAGAATTTATGAATTAATTCCAGAAGCTTTTTGGAGAAACCTCGAATGTCTAATCTCTTGTAATTAAGTTAAATTTTAATTCCAACCGCGACAGGCGTCCAAAGACAACTCACCCATAGTTTGGTGGGTGAATAGAATGGAAGAAAGAAGAGTGGAAGATAGAGAAAATAATTAAGCAATTTTCTCACCGCTGATTTGTTATGTTTATCCAATGTACTATGTAGAATGTGACGCTAAATTAATTAGTATCTTACCTTCTACACTGGCATGATCGTCTTTGGGACACTCCCTTTCCCAGAATATCGGATTTATAGGCGACAATGAGTAAATAATTATTCAATTTACCCTTCTTCCACACACCATCCCCACTGACATATTCTCCCCTGGAGGGATCTGCTGTCGTGGCTGCTGTCAATGTTATGGGCTGTATTGGAATGTGTTGAGAGGAAGACTGAAGAGGCTACTCAGCCAGTTGTAAAGGATAACTTTGTATTTGTTCAATCCTCAGCTGAGTTCTAGGTTTATCAAATTTTAATTATTTAATACACACATTTAGCCTTTGCTGAAAGAGATTCAGCTTATTTCAACTTCTTGATCTTTGTACGGTGTAGAGTTTAAAGACTTTGAGGTATTTATTTTGTGTTTCAACCTTAAGATTAGCTTCATTTCAATAACATTTATTTAATGCGAAACTATTTCAACTTAATCATACATATTCCTCACACTGATGATCCCCTTGCGATTTTCCCACGAATTGTTCTCTTATATGTGTGTCTTCTTATTCTTGGAAGAGGGGAGTGGAAAAGAAGTATTTCTGGAACACTCATTACTATTTTATTATCTCATTGAGACTCTCTGAGAAGTCATACATGGAAGAAACCGTATATTTCTCACCTCATTTAATATGTAATGGTTTACATAATAATAATTTTGTTTATGATGATATGCATATGCGAAGTTGGCAAAGGCAATGGGAAGGGGCTTCTTAGAGGGAATCTTGTATGATTCAAAATCCTTTTTCGCCTTCTTCACGTATTGTTTAGTTGATTGATATGTGGTAAAGTGGGTGACAGTTGAAGGAATGTTTGTATGAGTGTGAAAGTTGAATATATGTAGAAAATAAAATGGGTCTCTGTGAATTGATTTGTCGCGATATATTATATATGTAAGTTTGGGTTGTCAAGGGGTAGGATATCTTAAATAATTTATACCACCACTGATCACGAGTGTATGGGTGTCACGAGAAATCGATTAAAAATGTGCTCAACACGAGGATTTATTTGGTTATAAAGGTCAAAAGGTTACTGGGTAATTTTCCGGATTTCATTTGTCTACATATAAAAGACCACCTTCTAAAATAAACGATGTAATTTGTACAGATGAAATATGGCCAGTATAGTTGAGAGAAAAATAATTTTTCTTGTGATTCCCAAGACACAATGAGAGAGAGAGAGTGGCACAAGTGATGAGAGGAAATTGGGAAAGGGAGTGAAAAACGTGTGTGGAGAAATATGATATTTTATGGGTCATCGAAGAAAACAGGATTTTCTACTCTAGGGTATTTTCTGTTTGAGAACATGATGAGTGTGAGAGGTGAAGGAATGAGCAATCGAGAGGTTGTGAAAAGTTCTCCAAAGGGAGGCCTTTTCACCATGTCGATGGTAATGGGAAAGTGCCTCCTGAAAAGTAAAGTGTCACACATATGCCAGAGCAGAGATGAAGTTAAATATTTATTCTACTTTTTGCATAAATTTTATAATTCATGTGACATATATAGAATTCTTCGGGCAAGAGGAAAAGGCTCTTAAGATGGTGATCCCATTTTCCAGAAGGCCCCACATTGAGCCTATGAAGGGACACACTCTGATTCTTCCTGAAAGAGAAAGGAGAGGAAAGGAAAGAAAGGAGAGGGAAATAGAAATGGCTGTGTGAATGGAAGTGACGTGCAAAATGAGGAAAAATTGAATAATTTAAAATGCAAATGACATGTATTGGAAATCTGCTGAATTTTCGCGATTTTATTACACTTGGTTGAACTTCTTTTACGCATACCTTTTCTCTGTTCTCCTGCCGTCAAATCTTTTGAGAGTGTATTTCGGACGTGTTCGAATTCTCTTTATCCTATAATTATGTGTATTTGTCACTTATCTGTTTAATTGAAACTACTTAAAATATTGTCATGAGGACAATTACAACGGGTGGACTTTTTTTCTTTGCAAAATCAAAACATTGTTACTTCTTGTTGATAATACGTTGTCTCTGGATAAGAACGATTATATTGTCCGAAAAAGTAATGTGTGAATATTGTGGGATAAAAGTGGTTGACCAGAGAGGAAATATTGAATTGATGGGGTGAATGAAAGGGGGTTTTAACTTCAATTAACAGTCTTTTTCGTGATAACTATCAGAGGATGGTTTTTTATTGAGAAGTCCTTGAATATACTAATCAAGAGCAAGAAGTGATTTTCAATAAATTTCCGTTCATATCATCTACATTTTCGATGTGGGTCATGTGATAATATTTAGGAAATGTAATCATATATGAATGTGAGAAAAGCTGAATGTATGAGTAGTGAGAGAGGGAAAGAGAGGGAAATGTGAATGACGGGAAAAGAGGTCGAAAGTATAACATGGGTATATCGAGGGAAGTCACGTTCTTATCAACTTTAAATGCGACATTTAAATACCGGCTGTGAGGGAGGTGTTTTTCAAACATTGTCGCCACTTTCACCAATGTAGAAAATGGTTGTCTGATCTAATGGGTGAGCGAGAGAGCCATGTTGCGCTATTGGAGTACATATAATAATTAAAAGCATACATATTCACATAGTGGGTGAAAATTTAGCAAGGCAACAATGTTGGAGCAATAATGAATTTGAAAGTGGTGCTGAGGGTGCTTTTGTGCGGGTTTGCAGAAATACTTTGTGTCGCTCTCCCCAAAAATTCCACTATACTATGGAAGTAAGAATTATATTGTACATGTCCTCTCGTAATGTATAATCACTTATGTATACACAAAACATTTGGTAAGAATTTTCCTCTTCCACTGTAACCTTCGTAAATGTAACACTTGTGCAGGTCATTTGAATTTATATCATTTCTGCAGACTATTTTTCCTGTAATGTTGCTCTTGCTCTGCGCTTCTTTTACCCTCATTTCTCCAATGTTTATCTTTTTAAATTATGTATAGGCAAAATATCTTCTGGAAAGAGAAGTGCACAATTTTCAATCGATAGACGGTTAGCCAGACACTGAGTTCTTTCGTTCGCTGTAATAGGGTTTTACCAGG